ATCCTTGTGGGCCGCCGGGTAGCGATAGGGCCGAACGGCCACGGGCAGCGCACCTGGCTTGAGGACAATGCAGTGGTCCCAGCCACGCTGTGGTGGTAGGCCGGAAGGCTCGGCGAAAACCCCTTCGAAGGATGCCATCAGTTTGTCGAGGAAGTCCGCCGAGGCTGCTGTGGCGGCGATAGTCGGTTCCGGGCGCGCTGCCACGTCGGTCCAGCACACGTCCTTGCCCTGGCGCGAAAACGACATGGTGCGCGCCGTGAAGTCCCATGTGATCGGCCCCAGGGTAACCATCCACTGGGTTCCCAGGACGAGATCGTATCCCGCCAACGGCATGACGAAGAGGTCCACGTGGAACGCCTCCCCAGCGATGGTGATCGGCGCCTGCCGCAGAACGCCCGGGCACTGGATCTTCTCGCCATTGGCAACTGTGGCTGTGAGGCGGGGCTTGGACTGTATGGGCAGGTTGGTGCGGTGCGCCGCCTCCTCGGCGATGAAGTTGTGGGTGGAGCCGGTGTCGAGGAGGGCAGTGAGGGTCACCGCGCCCAACGTCACCCGGACCTGCATGGTGTCGCAGGGCTGCACGCCGGCAACCGCCTGCAAAGAAAAGACCGGGGCCTCCTCCTGGTCCCCGTCCCATGCGGCGTCTTCGGCGTCTGTGAGCGTCACGCCGTCGATGTAGAAGATGCGGCGGCAGACCCGGTTATGGCCACGCGAGTACTTTTCTTCGCAATTGTAGCACAGCCCAAGGCGGCGACGTTCCGCCTGCTCCTCCAGAGAGAGACGTTTCCCCGGTTTGGTCTCCATCTTGGCGGCGGCGGCGCCCGCTGGTGGTGGTGCAGGGAGCGCGGGGCGCTGAGGCAGTGCTGGAAGCAGGCCGCGGGCCGCTGACCGGGCTGGAGCCGGCGCCGGCCTGTCGAGCTCCATCAACTCCACTTGACGGGCCAGGCTCATGGCGGCCGCGAGCGATTGCGGGTTGTGAATCCGCACCGCGTGGCTTAGCGGCGGCAGGAGGCCCCCCGTGAAGAGTTGGACGCGCTGGGCTTCCTCCAATGGACCGGCGCGTGGCAGGAGCGCCTGGAACCGGTTCTGATACTCCTCCACGGAGCCCATGCGCCGGCACTCGGCGAGCTCGTAGAGCGGCGCGGAGCGCAGGGGCGGTCCGAAACGCAGGTGGAGGAGATCCTTGAAGCGGCTCCACCGGGGGGTACCCTCATCCTCCTGGAGTTGGATGTACCACAATTGGGCGACGTCCTCCAGATTATACGAGGCCATCCAAACCTTCTCCTCCTCCATGATTCGCTGCTGATGGAAGTAAGATTCACAGCGGTTGACGAAGATCAGCGGATCGGTCGTGCCATCATAGCGGGGAAAATCCATCTTTTGAAATCTCGGAGGACGGTCGTTGTGGTGCTGGCCGTCAGCACTACCGCCCGGGCCAGGCGATGAAGAGGATTTCTCCTTGTCCTTCTTCGACGTGGCGACGTCGGACTGCAGGGAGGTGATCGTGCCGGTGAGGCTCTCGATCATCTTGGCGATGTCGGCGTTGGAGGGCTCCGCCATGGGTGAAGAGACGAAGCTGGCTGATGGTGGATGGGGTGGTGGGCTGGTTGGTGGCGCGGCTGCTGTGGGACACGCGGCGGCTGGCGTAGGGCCGGCGGAGTGGGAAGAAGAGGATCGGCGTGACCGTGATACCAGGTTGTCAAGGGCCTTGACGTCTAGGGTAGGAGGCCCTCGGCTACGGAGATTGTAGCCTCGGTCCGTCGTCTTCTCCGGCGAGGTTATGCCCCTCTTCCGTAGGCTTAGACGAGAGGTGAGAGAGAGATTAGGGATAATAATCTTCCTTCCCTTTATCGTCTGGTTACAAGACTCAAATAGCCCTCAGGCTGAACCAACCATGCCTATAATTAAGGAATAAATAAGGAAACTAATCTCTTATTTTCTAATCTTAGCCACTCACGGTGGCCACCTCAGCCGCACGCTGGGCTCGCTCTGTGGCCCGGCGCACATCACGCGCCCGACGGCGTCGCACGTACGTGCGTCCCCACATGACAGTTTATTAGACAAAGAACGACAAATTTGTAATCCTAGCTCAACAATTTTGTGAATCTTGTAACAATAACCTAGAGAAATTTCTAGAAAAAAGAGTTGGTGAACATTCATTTGCTAGCGATCTCTTAAGGCATTCTGCAGTTTTCGGACAACAAATCAAACTACCATTGGTTGCTCTAACAAAATCCGAGATTCGAATGGAGGATTCATAGCGGCGTCATCTTGTTTTTTGCCGCATGTTTTGGATGCCCAAATGGCAGAAACATATGCCCTGAAGGAAGGCATTAGGTTGGTGCAGCAGATCGGATGCAGCAATTTCATTATGCAATCGGATTGCATGGAGTTAGTCGAAACGGTGAAGGAAGGCGATTTCCAGGCATTAGCAGCAGCTCCAATACTTGAGGAATGTTATAACACACTGAAAGAATTCTAAAGATTTTTGTACTTGGGTTGATTCACCCCCTGCTTTATTTTCCATGCTTTATCAAATGATGTAACATTGTTATCAGGTGATTAATAAAGCTTGCCGTATGGCTTTATATAAAAAAAAAAAAAAAACTGCAGTCCTTGTGGCTAGAACTAGAATAGACCAGTGGCTAGCCATGGTCTAAGTAGGTTAAATGCATGTAAGGCGATTGTGAAGGAAAATTTAGGCACATGTATCTGTAGTTTTTCTATTGATTTCATTCTAAGCGTAATGACCTGATGCAACTGGGTCTTAAACATATGATAACCAAGCCTGCTCTTTCATCATAAAAGTAATACATCAATATGCTTGAGGTGAAGTCTCACATCAGCAATTGAACAGACTGAAGTCTACACCAAAGGACAAACACAATCAAGTAACAGTAACTGATGTCAAAATGGTTATTGCACCAGCCCAATGCTTGCTTGATCTCCTGAACCATGCCACGGCTTCCTTTAGGTAATCCAGAAGCAATACACATGTTGCTCAAAAAAAAAAAAAGAAGCAATACACATGCAAAATGGAAAAAGCTGCCAAAATAACCTCCACCACTGCCACCATCACCGCCTTTACCAAAGTGGAATGGAGGAAAGCCCCCATTGCCGTTATCAAGTTTGGGTCCATTCACCTCCCCTATAAATCAATAGATTAAAGATAAAACTAAATGCACAATTACTCATGTGTGAGTGTTGGCGTGTGTTTTAGGCGTGTTGTAACTTTATGATCTTCTTAATGCAATTTTACACAGGTCCGGTCCGAGCTTTTTGACCTAGAATGAAACTAAAATTTTGGGCATTTTTATATGAACATAGTACCACTCAGGATAGTATATATATACATATATACGAAACATTACTAATAAGCAGTTAACTAAATAAAAAAACAATATTCATATAAAACAATTTGTATACATATTAAATTACCTTAAATTTTTCTTCTAACATTGCTCGATGCGGAGTCATCGATGATGGTGTCAATATTAATTAATCTCATCCAACAATCGCTTCTCAATGCATAATGTTGCCAATCCATTTAACCTCTCTTGTGGATTATTGACCTCAAATAGTTCTTCAGCAATAAGCAATGGAAGTAGGAACTTCATCTCCCTTGTTCTTCCTTCTAGGGTGGCGACGTGAGCGCGGTGGATCCTTACGGCTTAGGCCTCGTTAGGCTAGGCTCCTTCACCTTGGCTTTGCACTATAGTATCGGAAGAGCTGGAGTCAAAGAAGCCATAAATCAAGGCTTCTTCAGCTTCTCAGTTTATTTTGGTATGATAGAGAAAAATGGCTTCTATGAACAATACTGCTAAGAGTTTGTTTGGTAGGGCTTCTCCCTGGCTCTGGCTTTGGCTCCTCAGGTCCTATCAAATGTTTTATAAGAGGAGCTGTGAGGAGCCCGAGCTATTTTGGCAGAAGAGAGAAAAACAATTTCTATGAAAAATGTTGCTAAGGCCCTCTTTAGACCTAAGAAGATAATACTCCCTCCAGTCCTCTATATCTGGCGCACGCCCATTTTTCATTTCGACGACAATAGCAGGCGGAGTGGGGATATCGAGAGCCAATTAGTTAGTCAAGGGTTAATTAATCTAGAGTTAACTGGATGGCTAGCAACGGAGCGTTGCAATGCATGCGCAACTCGTTTCAGTTGAGAAAAATACGGAGGGAAACGACTCGTTTCTGCTGGAGAATCCTCGTGGTTGGCGGCGCGGCTGTTACGACTCACAGGAGTTAACACTCAGCGCGTACTCTCGTAGAGCGTCTTGGTCTGTGGAACTAGGCTCCTGGCGCTAGGTAAAACGGGCCGGAGGGAGTAGTTAGTTGCTAATAATTTTTTCCTCGACAAACTAAGCTTAGCTCGTTTTTTTTAATCTACGCTCGGGTTTAAGTCCCCGATTTAACATGGGTGTTCGTATTTTTCTGAATTTATTATAGAATTTAACGGCGCTATTTTTTTAGTGGTTGAGGACGGTATCCGTCGACAGCGAAGACGCCTATGGTAACTTCATCAATCTCGAGATTCATCGGTCTAACTCACAGTTCTTCGGAGGTGCTGATAGAGGTAGGGTGTGTCTACGTGTATTCGTAGGGGTGAGTATACGTGTCGACGTTTATAACTAGGTCTCAAAAAAAATAATTATCTCCTTAATCAAATAGGTCTAGCAAATAGTTTAGTTAATTGCCAGTGAGTACCTAACTAACAACTATTTTATTAATCGGATCAAACTAGCTAATGCTAGCGCCTAATATTAGTTGTGACCTATATAGTATTAGCTATTTAATAATTATTAACAGCTAATGGATCCAAATAGACAAGGTGTAGGAGGAGCTGAAGCTTAAAAAAAAAATAGCCGCCAAACACGCGCTTAACCTGCGGATATACTGGTGGTGAGATGGGTGTATATAACACAACAGATGTTTATTCGTTTTGGGTACTTGTTTCGAAGAGAAGCAGATTTTGAGGAGTCCGAAGGCAGAGTGAGCGGGAGATGAGGAGCCCGGTGCCGGAGCGTAGCCTCATCATCGAGAGCGACGACGGCGACGACGACACCCAATCAGCTGTCGCCACCAACTGGACAGGACACGGCCACGACGAGGAGGAGCCGGAGCAGGAGCCGGGTTCGGACTCCGACTCCTCGTCGTCCTCATCCTGCGCCACCCCACGCCGCGGCCCAAGCTCCCCCGCCTACACCCAGCAATGGCCGCAGAGTTACAGGTCACGTCGGTTCCTCCTCCCTCCTCCATGATAGAAGAAGAATCTCTAGTAGTTGCCGGCCTGCCCGTATACGTATCATCTTATCTTATATATCCGTGGTTCCTCGGTCGCAAGTTACGCTGCCGCGAGCACCTGGGGCGAAGTCGAATACGCTGCGGCGTAGTGCTGCTGCGGTGTGTTCTTTCGCATCCTCAATTTCAATTCTCTGAGCCGCTGCTTCATTTTCTTTTTCTCATCCTCCTCCCGCAGCTTCAGTTCTGTTAACAGGTTACAGGTAGCTGCAGATCCATCATCCATAGTTCCATTTCCATACTGACGGTACACTAGCTATTCGAACAAACAAACATGTGTCCTGTGATAGAATACTGTACTGATGATTGATATCCATTGCCACCATGACGGGATCCTTGCGATGTGTTTCATTGCTGGCTGGGCCAGGGCCGGCAAAGTCTGTCAAGCAAGCGGGCACACCTATCGTCCTTTCTCGAGAATCAAGTTGCATTGCAGGCACACCAATCAACCATGACATCTCTGTCTGACTGTCTGCACGTACAGCTCATGTGCCAACCATACAATCAATTATTTCCTATTCAATTAATTAACATGGAGTTGGCCTTGCCCAGTAATTTGGCTTGCAATTATACCACCTTGAAGAATCTGTAGACCTTAAATGTTTTTTTTCCAAGAAAATAATTTGTTGAATTTAATGAAAGAACTGGTTGTCTTAGTTTTTTATAGGTACTATATGATATTTGATTCTTTTGCATGCTTTCTTTGATCCTAGGCTTTTATAAATTACTGTATAATAGACCACAGGGAATTCCTTAATAGTTATATGTCTGTTTTTTTTCTTGCTCTCCTTTGACAGGCAATCGATTGACATTCTTAGTAGCGTGCACTCACCCAATCTGAGCTTTTTGGGGACTCCAACTCTGAGCAGACTGTCAAACTCTTTCCTTGCCATCACCGATTCTTTTCGGGGCAAAGCCCCTGAAACAATCTCAAACTTTATCAAGCCACTTCTTGGCCCGACATCAAGTGATGAGCAGCAGCAGCAACATGAAGATACCCGAAAGAGTTCTCAGCACATTATGCCCTCAAGGAAATCATCTTTGCAACAAATCCCTGAGGATCAAAAGCCACTGGTAGTTGGTCATGAGGCGTCTCATAATCGAAATTGCTCTTACACCCAGGGAGTGATGAATGGTAAGCACAACTGCTTTATTATTCTGTGATGCTCACCAACGTTGGCAAGGAATGTGAAAATGGCGTTTAGCTCAAATGACTGATGTCCTGAGGTTATTTTGCTGTTTTTTTTTTAATTTCGGGGTAGACCCCCCCAATCATCAATATTGCAGAATATTCTCGTGATATGCCATTGGTGATGCCAGCTCTACTGAACCTAGACGCATTCCACACAGATCAAATGTCCAAGTTCAGTGTACTTGATTCTGCATCTAGACATTTATATCCACTGTGGTATTTTATTTTAATGGATTCTAGTATGTAGTTTACACAGACCCAAATTATAATGCCAAACTGAAACAATGTACTGATTCTGCATCTAGACATGAGACTGACATCACACATTCACTGTTTCAGTTTCATGTTTCCAATTAGTTGTGAAGCATCAAGTGCAGCCAATTATCGACTAGGGGTTTTTAATAGCTCAATCCTCTCTTTGTTGATTTGCCGCATCACATGTCCACCGGTTCGATTTTTCTTCTTCCTCCCCAGTCCCCACATGGATGGGAACATCACGTGGTTGATGAGTCAGCACAACCATCTGGTAGTGGTTACACAAATAGATGCATTCTGTACTTTTCCTTGAGGACAAACAATAATAAAGATAAAGACAAAGCCTTTTAGTTTCAAGTAAGTTTGGGTTAGTTGGAGATGGAGCCATCAATAGAAAGAATAAAAAGGTTTTAGTTTGTAGTAATAATAGTAAAATAAGTTCGGTTTTCCAAAAAATAGTAAAATAAGTTCGATACCCTAACCTATGGTTTGGGCATATAGATTGATAGGCCTATGATTTAGTATATTCATATCAATCTAACCATAAATTGCCAAATTATTCAGAATCGTAAATATATCATCAAATGTTCTGATGAAGTTTTACTACATGTAATTTATTAAGTTCAATCAGTAATACCAAAAACAGAAGAAATTATTCGGATGGTAGTATTTGAAATTTCTTTACTAGTGGTTATCTAACCAGAGTGCTGTAACTGTTAGTCGTTGAACTCTCACTCTCGGTAGTAGCAGAATTCTTACTCTCATCGAGAGAGGATGACACTAGGAGTTGGGGCAATTTTCTGGTTTATTTCTCACACAAACTCACACAAATGCCATGCCAACCCGAGGGGTTGGGGATACATATTTATAGGCTGCTAGCCAGCCAAGCATATGCCAATATGCTAGTCTAAGATGCTAGTCTAAGATGTTGTCCTAGATGCTAAGATGCTGTCATCTAGATGCTAGTCTAAGATGCTGTCCTAAATGTTGTCTTCTAGTTTAAGATGTTGTCCTATACTGTCCTAAAAATAGATCATGCAGCCACAAAGACCATATGACCAGCACAGCCCCACAAAGACCAACACATGAGACTTATCCCATCATTCTCTCCCTAAGTCTTGTGCGTCGTCTTGTGGGAAAGTTGAACCATCCCGGTCCTGGAGCAGAGCTCAAGGAACTTGATCCTCCCAAGGGGCTTGGTGAGCAGGTCCGCAAGCTGGTCCTTGGTGTTGATGTAGCTCGCCTTGATGCTCCCTTCCTCCAAACAGCCTCGGATGAAGTGGTACCTCACCCGAATGTGCTTGTTGCATTCATGGAAGACGGGGTTCTTTGCCAGGGCCAGAGCGGACTTGCTGTCCACCCTGAGCTACACGGCTCTAGTGTCTCTGCCGAGGAGATCACCAAGCAGTCGAGCGAGCTAGAGCGCCTGAGTCGAAGCGGTGGAGGCCGCTATGTACTCGGCCTCGCAGCTGGACAGGGCCACCACCTGCTGCTTGACCGACTGCCAGCTAATGAGGCACTTGCCGAGGAAGAAGAGGATCCCGCTCGTGGTCTTGCTGGTGTCGATGTCGCCGGCGTGGTCGCTGTCGCTATACCCGACGAAGTGTGCCGCCCCAGGGCACTTAGGGTAGTAGAGGCCGTGGTCGATAGTCCCATAACGTAGCGGATGATCCTCTTCACGACTTCTTTGGTGCTCCGTTGTCGGTCATTTGCATGAACCGACTAACGAGGTGACGGAGAATGCCAGTCCGACCGTGTGTGGGCGAGGTAGCGAAAGGCTCCCCACAAGACGCCAGATCTGCGTAGCATCCACCTCCTCCGCCGTCTTTGTCGCGGCTCGCCGACCTCTCCTCCATCGGAGTGAGAGCTGGGTTGCGATCGGTGAGCCCGGCTAGCTCAACGACGCGCTTGGCGTGGGCGGTCCGTCAAGCGTGATCCCGAGTCATCCTGGTGCACCTCGATTCTCAAGTAGAAGGAGAGAGGCCCCAGGTCACTTATCTGGAAGGTGGCCTTCATCTCTTCCTTGAATGCCGCCACCTCGCATCCTTGGTGCCGGTGATCACCAAGTCATCGACGAGACACCCACCAGTGAGCATTTCCTCCATCGCCCGTCGGTAGATGGTCGCCTCGTGCGGGCTTTGCTCAAGCTCATCCCTTTAGCGTGGAATCTAGCTTGGCATTCCACGCCCTCGGTGCTCGCCGCAAGCCATAGAGGGCCTTTGCGCAGGTGAGCACCTGCCCTCCCGTCGGGATCGTAAATCCCGTGGTGGTGCATGTAGACCTTCTCCTTCAAGTCGCCGTTAAGGAACGTCGACTTGACATCCATGTGATGAACACGCCAGCCCTCCTGGGCAGCTAGCGCAAGGAGGAGTCGCACGGACTCCATCCGTGCCACGAGAGCAAAGGCGTCGTCGAAGTTGACCCCCTCCTGCTGCACGAAACCTCGTGCCACCAAGCGAGCCTTGTGCTTGACGATGGCACCGGCTTCATCCCTCTTCAGCTTGTACACCCACTTAAGGGTGATCGCACAGTGACCACGAGGAAGGTCAGCAAGCTCCCAGGTGCGGTTCTTCTCAACCGCATCCATCTCCAACTGCATCGCGGCGCGCCATGCCGCATGTCTCTCGGCCTCTGCAAATGACCGAGGCTCGCCGTCGTCACACGCAAGGTGCAACTGCGCCTCTAGGTCGTGAGGCACTGGTCCCGGCACTGGCTAGTCACCGAGAAGGTTCTTCATCGTACGGTACCGCAACGGCTCGCCGTCGTGGTATGCGTCGACGCGCTCCTCGTCGTGAGAGAGCGGAGTAGCGAGCTCAATCGGGCCGTGCTCGACACGAGCTGGTGGTGGAGTAGACGTGCCCGGAGTGGTGCCTGTCGGTGCTGGAGTGCGTGGCGTTGTCGGCTGTGGTGGAGCTGGCGAAGAACTCATCGCAGCCGAGGTCCTGGCTGGAGAGCGTGGTGCTGTCGGAGTAGCAGGCGCCGAGGTCGGTGGAGGCTCAGGGACTGGGGTAGACGCGCTCGCCGAAGAACTACCTACTCCCCCAGCTCCCTCGAAGTGGACGTACTCGACAGTGAGGTCGTCGTACGTCGGAGCCAAGCTGTCGTCCACCGCCTTGTCCCACGCCCATCCTCGCCCTTCGTCGAACACAACGTCGCGCGCCGTGCGCACACGCTGTGTCTTTGGGTCAAGGATGCGGTAGACCTTCAAGCCCTCCGCGTAGCCGATGAACACTCCCGAAGTGCTCCTGTCGTCGAGCTTGCTGATGTGACCAAGCTCCTTGGCGAACGCGAGGCAGCCGAAGACCCGCAAGTGGGAGACCGCCGGCTTGCGCCCATGCCAAGCCTCGTACGACGCCCTGCCGTCGAGCGCCTTGGTAGGCGAGTGGTTGAGGATGTAGACGGCCGTCACCACCGCCTCTCCCCAGAAGACAGCCGGCATCCCCCTCTGCTTGAGGAGGGCCCGAGCCATCCCCACAACCGTCTGGTTGCGCCGCTCGACGACGCCGTTCTGCTGCGGGTTGTATGGCGCGGAGTAGTGGCGCTGAATGCCATCGTCAGCGCAGTACGACGCGAATTCAGCCGCCGTGAATTCGCCGCCGTTGTCGGTGCACAGCACGCGCAGCTTGCGACCGCACTCCGCCTCCGCAGCAGCCTGCGCGCGCCTGATGGCGTCCGCAACCTCTCCCTTGCTGCCGAGGACCATCACCCACATGTAGCGGGAGAGGTCGTCGACGAGTAGCAGGAAGTAGCGTCGTCCTCTCGGTGTGGCCGGTGTCACCGGGCCACACAAGTCCCCGTGCACAAGCTCGAGCCTCTCCTTGGCTCGAAAGCTCGCCCGCTGGGGAAAGGGGAGTCGCCTCTGCTTCGTCAACACGCAGACGTCGCAGAACTGCTCCACATGGTCGAGGCACGGCAGGCCTCGCACCATCTCCGTGGCACTGAGCCGCTTCGGGACCTCAAAGTGAAGGTGCCCGAAACGCTCGTGCCACTGCCACGCCTCGTCGTCCCGACGAGCAGCGAGACAGAGGGGTTGTGCCACCTGCACGTTAAGGACGTAGAGTCGATTTGCGTTTCTAGATACCTTGGCAAGAAGGCGACGACGACGGTCCCAAATCCTCATGACTCCGTCCTCAACCACCACGCGCGAACCGTTCTCATCCAGCTGTCCCAAGCTGATGATGGAGTTCCTCAACGCGGGGATGTAGTAGAGTCCGGTGAGCAGCCTGTGCTCACCAGACACAGCGGTGAAGATGACGGAGCCGACGCCCTTGATCTCCACGCCGGAGGCATCCCCAAACTTGACGGAGCCTCGGACGCTAGAGTCAAGCTTGGTGAAGAACTCCCGTCGACCGGTCATGTGGTGGGTGGCACCGGTGTCGAGGCACCACCCGTCAGTCTTGTCGTCGTTGGAGCCGTCGCCGAGGAGGGCGTGTGCTTTTGGCTCGTCAAGGTGGAGGAGGGCCGCTGTGGCCGGTGCCGCTGGAGGTAGCTCGATGCTTGCATGTGCCATGAACAGAGCCGGCTCCTCCTCCGCCTGTGCGACGTGGGCCTGGCCGCGTCGTGGCTGTCGGCAGTCCTTGGCCCAATGGCCAAGCTGGCCGCAGTTGCGGCAGGCGTCGTCTCGTGCCGGCTTGTGCCTGCCGGCGGCGCCGCCCTGGGCGCCTCCGCGGGCATCACCCTCGGCACGTCCTCGCGCCCCGGCCTGGGCGTCTCTGCGCGCCTTGCGTGGCTTGCCACGCTTGCGACCGCCTGTTGCGGAAGAAGGCTCCCCCTTCTTCCGGTCACCTTGGCTGGCAAGCCACTGCTCCCGAGTGAGAAGGAGCTTCCCGCCAGTGGTGATGGGCCCCGAGAGAGACTGTGGCTCATCGCTGTCGATGACCTTGAGGCGACCTATCGCCTCCTCGATCGACATCGTGGAGAGATCCAGCAGGGACTCGATCGAGCGAGCCATCTGCTTGTACTTCTCGGGGACGCAGCGAAAGAGCTTTTCGATAGCTCTCTCCTCGCCATAGGTGTCATCGCCGAATTGCACCATCTTTTGCAACAGAGTGTTGAGACGGAGAGCAAAGTCATCAACGTCCTCACCTGGCTTGAAGTCCAGGTTCTCCCACTCCTTGCGAAGTGCCTGCAGTGTGGACTTGCGGGCGCGGTCGCTGCCGATGCGTGCCGCAGCGATGGCGTCCCAAGCCTCCTTGGTAGTCCGCTTGTTGGTAAGCGAGAACTGCATCTCGGGCGGGACTGCAGCGATGAGGGCATCCAGCGCCCGTCGATCTAGGTCGTAGTCGACGTCGCCGTATCGGACTGCCTCCCACATGTGCCGCACCTGGAGCTTTACCCTCATCACCGCAGCCCACTCGACGTAGTTGGTCTTGGTGAGGGTAGGCCACCTATCGTCGGGACCGACGTCCCTGACAACAGCCTAGAGCCCGTGGTAACCACGGTACCGATCCGGGGAGAGAGAGTCACGCTGCCTGTGAAGGCCGCGCTCTCCATCGGCCCGTCGGTACCGATCCGGGGAGAGAGAGCCACGCTGCCTGTGAAGGCCGCGCTCTCCATCGACCCGTCCGCCACCGTTGCTGTGCGCGCCTCCTCCAGGAGCGCCGCCGCCGTGCGCGCCTCCACCAGGAGCGCCGTCGGCGCGTCCGCGCTGTCACAGGCTGCCGCGCGCCGTGGCGTCTGCTGCTGCCCAGAGCGCCACCGCCGCGCGCCTCCTCGAGAGCGCCGCCAGCGCGTCGCGCGCTGTCTCGGGCTGCCGCTACGCTTCGTGGGCGTCTTGGCGGCTGCCTTCGCGCCGCCGCCAGCGCTCACCGCGCCTCCCTCTCTAGCAGCTCGAGGTCCGCGTCGGCGTGTGTGTCGCAGAACGAGCAGGCCGATGCGTCTTTGCCCTGCCAGGCCTCGACTCGACCTCTGCCGCCGCGACGCTGCATTTGCATTCGCCGCCCTTGCCGCTTCCGCGCTTTCACTGCTGTTGCTGCCACCGCCACTTGCCACCTCGACGCGCTGCCTTGCCGCCGCCCGCGGCTCTCTGCCGCGCTTCGCTCGCGTTCCTCTGCCGTGGCAAGTTCGGCCTCCTACCGACGCCGCGTGCTCGAGGCAACCGAGCGCTGAGACTGCCCTGCGGACATGACGCGCTACCGGGGGGCTCTTTGCATGGGGGAGAGGCTGCCCAGACGATGCCTTGCGTCTGCTGTGAGGAGGAGTGAGCAGGAGCGCCGGGCTGCTTGCTTCGCATGTTGGGGCTATTGTGTGGCTGGGAGAGGAGATGAGCAGGAGATGCTCAGGCTACAGGATAGTACGGCTCTGATACCAGTTGTTAGTCGTTGAACTCTCACTCTCGGTAGTAGCAGAATTCTTACTCTCATCGTGAGAGGATGACACTAGGAGTTGGGGCAATTTTCTGGTTTATTTCTCACACAAACTCACACAAATGCCATGCCAACCCGAGGGGTTGGGGATACATATTTATAGGCTGCTAGCCAGCCAAGCATATGCCAATATGCTAGTCTATGATGCTGTCCTAGATGCTAAGATGCTGTCCTCTAGATGTTAGTCTAAGATGCTGTCCTCTAGTCTAAGATGTTGTCCTATGCTGTCCTAAAAACAGACCATGCAGCCACAAAGACCATGTGACCAGCACAGCCCCATAGAGACCAACACATGTGACTTATCCCATCACTAACAAAATATTGAAGCTTAGCTAGGCCTTTGAATTCTTAATGAGAAAATTCTCTAGTTTTCACGTTGGGTGTGCAATTTGGTTTTATGCAGGAATAAATGTTCTATGTGGCGTGGGAATCCTATCAACACCTGTAACAAAATATCGAAGCTTAGCTAGGCCTTTGAATTCTTAATGAGAAAATTCTCTAGTTTTCACGTTGGGTGTGCAATTCACTTTTATGCAGGAATAAATGTTCTATGTGGCGTGGGAATCCTATCAACACCTTATGCCATCAAACAAGGGGGTTGGATTGGGCTGGTGATACTCTGTTTATTTGCATTGCTTGCATGGTACACTGGCGTGCTCCTGCGCCATTGCCTGGACAGCAAGGAGGGCCTCGAGACATACCCAGATATCGGCCATGCAGCCTTTGGCAGCACAGGTCGCATAGTTATCTCGGTAAATCTGCTTCAGATTATGATAGCACATTTAACTGTGCCTTTAATTTTCTGCACATTTTAGTACAATGGTCAATGGATGAGTTATGTGCTGACTAGTTTTGTTCCTTGTTTGTGGCTTCACTGTTGAAGATAATACTGTATGTGGAATTGTATGTAAGTATCCATACTGACCTTCTATTTCAATCAGAATTAATGATCCAAGCTGTGCAGAACAATCTGCGCGACCATCACTTGCATGTCCTATACAAAACATTTTTAGGGTGTTTGAGGAATCACCCCATTCTAGATTAAGTGATGCATCATGAATTTATTCCTCAAATTTGATCGAATGATTGCATTCCTCATACTAGTACTAATTTTTAGCTTGTGAGGAATGAGGTGATGATGGATCAACTCATTCCATTCCACAAACCAAACAAAAAAGTGAGGATTGCTAAGTCGAACCAAACACCCTATTTGTTTCTTGCTTTTTGAAGTGTAACGATATTACTTGGTCCTAATGTATTGGACAGGCATGTTGCATCGAGTATTTGATATTGGAGAGTGACAATTTGTCAAAATTATTCCCCACTGCACACCTGACCATTGGGAGCCTGACGCTGAACTCACATGTATTTTTTGCAATCTTGACTACCATCATAGTCATGCCAACCACCTGGCTCCGTGACCTGAGCTGTTTGAGCTACATTTCAGGTCTCATTTTGCCTGCTTCTCATTCTTGTTTTTTTAAATTCATTCTGCGTGGCCTTGTTGTTGCTATAGATCATGTACCCAATGCATGTATTGCACACTATATTGATGCTAGCAATGTTGATGTGTCTGCAGCTGGGGGTGTCATTGCATCAATCCTTGTGGTCATCTGCCTGTTCTTGGTTGGGGTTGTCAATAATGTCGGCTTTAAGAACGAAGGGACTGCACTGAACCTCCCAGGAATTCCTATTGCAATTGGATTATATGGTTACTGCTACTCAGGGCATGGGGTATTTCCAAACATATATTCCTCTCTGAAGAATCGCAACCAGTTTCCTTCAATTCTTTTTACATGGTAATTATTTTAATCGCGATGACCCCACACTAATGCAAATTCAATAATTATTGATGTTGGAAATGCAGCACTCACATCTGTTTTCTGTTTCTTGTCAGCATTGGGCTGTCTACCTTTTTGTATGCTGGTGCTGCAGTGATGGGATACAAAATGTTTGGTGAAGCCACAGAGTCCCAATTCACACTCAACTTACCAGATAATTCCCTCATTTCTAAGGTTGCAGTTTGGACAACGGTAATTGTTGCTTCCTAAACCATTTCAAATTCCCCTTTACTCCATCCATCTCAAATTAAATCAACTTCTAAAGTTGTCCTAAGTCAAACTATTTTAAGTTTGATCAACTTTAAAGAAAAGAACACCAATATTTATGACACCAAATTAGTATCACTGGATACACTGCGAAATATATTTTCATAATATACTTATTTGGTGTCATGGATGTTATTACCGTTTCATATAAAGTTGGTCAAACTTAAGATAGTTTAACTTGGGGTGATCCTAGGAACTGATTTATTTTGAGACGGAGGTAGTAAGACAGGGGGCTGACCCTGTTATTTAATAATAATTAATCACCTCTCGATGCTTACTGCAGGTGGCAAATCCAATAACCAAATATCCTTGGTGTGCCAATTGTTAGTCTCATAAAGAAATGGAAAAAATGTTTTTTATGTGCAAATATATTTTAGTACATAGAGTTGGTTAGATACTTGGATTAAAAAGTAAAAAGGGTACGCTGGAAATCGTGCTGAAACACTTCGCCCAAGCTCCTAAAATACACTCTGGTTCTTCTTTCCTTTGAGGAGACCATACATGTTTTACTACGTCCTCAGAATATTGCAATATTGTTCTCTTACTTTCCTTAATGAATAAATACATATGCATTAACTATTATTCCATTGGCTATGAGTTTGGAAGAGTTGCTGCCACCAAACCAACAAAAGTATTCTACAATAATCATGCTTAGATCATCTCTGGTGATGTCAACCCTCCTGATTGCTCTATCTGTGCCTTTCTTTGGTAAGTGCATAGTATTTAATCCTACAAAGATCTCCAACCGTGATACGATCCTAATCATTTGCGTCTTACCTTTTGATAGGACTTGTGATGGCCTTGGTTGGTTCCTTGTTTGCCATGCTTGTGGTAAGATTTTCATGTTTAGCTCAGATATCCTAGCTTACAAATTGGTGAGTCTCAAATATGTTTTTGTTGTAGACCTATATTCTGCCTTGCGCGTGTTTTTTGGCAATCCTCAAGACAAAAGTGGGGTGGCATCAGGTATGAAAATTATGCAAATATTTCCAATCCTGTGTTCTATTCTTTCAAGTTTGTAAGCAGTGCTTTAGTGATAACTTAAGTGAAACAAGGAAGCTAAAGATTGAGCACAAGACATTATCATATTCTTATATTCTTATGAACATGATTGCACTGAAACAGGCCCCAGTTAGAACTGGTAATATCAGCAAGGTTTAGAGAATCATGCATCCTTTTTTCTATAAAAAGAACTTCTATTGATATCAAGACAATGACATTAATGGCCTGTTTGGATCCTTTCATTTGGGCTAAATTGAAATCTACTTCATGAACTTGGTTTTTTGGCTTAGAATTGATATTCCACCACTTTCCAAATGTTAAGTACAGGCCTGTATCAAATTCAGAGCGTAAGACATGGAAAGAGACTAAGAAATAGAAAGTGAGATTCATCCTTGCCCGCATGGGCCAATATTCGTCTCCACTCTTCTCTCGCGAGTCCGGACACAAAAAGATTCTTGTGTGGGGGATCTCACTGCTGCCATCAAGCTCTCACCACAATAACACTTCAATTAAGATCTGAGACGGAATTTGATTCTTGATTCTTGAAATAAGATTCAATTCCACGCAAACAAACAGGCCGTAAGATGATACAATCATCTTGAAATCACTCTCGACCTCAGGATGCACATAGCCTACAAATGTTTTTGTTATATAAATAGACATGCTACTGATTATCAGTGCACACTAGACACACTATGGCATGTAGAATTATGCATTCTACTGACCGGATCTGTTTGATTCACAGATAGCAGCTTGCTCGTTCATCATAGCTGTTGGGGTTTGCTGTGCCTGCGTGGGAACATACTCATCCCTGTCAATGATAATCCAGAACTACACATAATACAGCTGTTCCTGACTTCCTGTTATCCTATATATGCAGTTGCCCAACAAAATCATGTGTGTGCAATATGGGCCAAGCATATATAAGATGAAAGTTTACCCTGCAATTCACTCTATGTGTAATAAATTATTGGTGTCTTATCATAGGGCTCAATGATTTGTACTATGGTTTTAAGGTGGTATCATGCGTAAGTAACATTGTTCCTTATGGTGCGGAAAAAAAACAAGTTGATTTGGTCTTCTTGCAATTTTATGATTTGATTCCATCAAAAGTTGAATGCAACAAGGGTCCATGAACTTGACAGGATATGCCGCCTAGTTCATGAACTCTGAAACCCCATAGTCTGTCCACGCATTTTAGGTGACGTGGCTTTGCCAGGGTGGTAGTTCCGAGGTGACATCGGCACTTGAAAAGCGTGTGAGGACATGCATGGGTAAGGTGGGAGCGGGCTGGAAATAAGCACAAATTGAGCAGGGGCATATGTTGTCATTTATCATCCATTTTTCATTAGAGTGGATACATTTTCAGTGCACGCCCGCCTGGGGCCCAGAGCAACCGCTTCGGGTGATGATGGTGGTCCCAGTCAAGCGGCCGAGGAGTTAATCCGGCCAAGGACCGAGGAGATTTACTTGGGGACGCCAACTCTGGGTCACGCCCCCTCGATCCCCAGGGTGTGTACTGCTGAGGCGGCGGGCGAGCAGGACGAGGCAGCGGAGGATGTAACGGAGGCAATCGTGTCTGGGCTGCCATTGCTGGCCGCCTCGGGCCCCGTCCCCCTCGCGCACGCGTGGGATCCCAGCCCCCCCTCATTTACGGCGATGGAGGCGGATGTGCGGGCTGCAGAGGCGGCAGAGCCTTTAACTCTGGCTGTATCGGGCCCCGTCCCCTCCATGCACGAGCAGGGTACCTATGACCCTTCGATTCCTAGGGAGTTTGCAACGGGACAGGAGACCACCACGGCAGCTACTGGATTGTCATCAGAGGCTCAAGGCGTGGCGAAGGGAGGCGCGGTCCTGGAGGGGCCTCCCATGGCGGCCACTCCTGCCCCACCGGGTCGTCAACTTGAACTGGTACAGAGTCTCCCAGTGGTGTACTTCAGGAAGCGTCTCCGCTCAAGGGCCTCTCAGCATGCACAGGACGCTCCCCAGTCCCCTGTCTCTCCCTCGGCCACTATATTACTAAAACTTGACAAAGTGAGCAAGTCCATCGATGCTCTGCTCCCCCATCCCCGGATTCAGAAACGGAGGGCGAAGAAGCCACCGTCGGGATCCCTGCCGCGCCGTAGCAGAAGAGTGGCCGGAGCGGAACCTTGTTCCCCGGGGCCGGTGATCAGTGTAGCTCAGAGAAAGGTTATGAGGAGCTTGGGCTTTGGACTGCAGGAGAAGATTGATGTGGCTATTCAGGATGAATATGGCAAATTATATGGACAGAAGCTGAATGAATCTCATCTTTCGGCGCTTGCTGCAATCTTTGGCTGGACAGTGGAAGAGGGGGGGGAGGCATGCACTGCTGACCTGCTTGTCTCCCTCTAGATAATTGTTTGTTGATTCTGGTCGTCTCTATTGCTACTGAAGATGAATCCTTCATCAATTTTGATTTGGAATGTGCGGGGTCTCAATGATGCTGCTAGGCGCAACTCAGTAAGGGATGTCATACTCTCGAGTAATGTTGAGATAGTATGTCTTCAAGAGACTAAGATTGAGCATATGAATCAACGAGTGTTTCTATCTGTCTTTGGCTCCTCATATGATAAATTTGTTGCTTTACCGGCTAATGGAACTAGGGGCGGATTTCTGATTGCCTGGAAGAGCAATACCTGCCAAGCCATGGCTACCCGAGTGGATACATTTTCAGTATCTGTTTGGTTCTCGGAACAGGAGGGTCGTAACTGGTGGTTCACAGGAGTGTACGGCCCTCAAGAAGATGAGGAGAAGGTATTATTTTTACAGGAGCTCAGAAACATCATAGGTCTATGCAATGGTCCTTGGTTGCTTGCAGGTGATTTCAATTTAATCTACCAGGCAGCAAATAAGAATAATGCCAATCTGGACAGAGCCATGATGGGTAGATTTCGCCGCTTTTTGGATGACTCTGAGGTCAAAGAATTACCGCTATTGGGCAGAAAATACACATGGTCCAATGAAAGGATGTCACCCACCCTGGTAAGGCTGGATCGGGCATTTTGCTGTTCGGATTGGGAGGATATTTTTCCTGGCTCTATATTGCAAAGTGCTGCTTCTGGAGTGTCGGATCATTGCCCCCTAATTCTAGGGTTAAAGATTAAAATAACCGGCAAGCGACGCTTCCATTTTGAAAGTTTCTGGACCAAGGTTCTAGGTTTTTTGGAGGCGGTGCAGCAGAATTGGGAGGCTCCTGTGCAAACAAACTGTGCAGTGGAGCGCCTCTTTCTCAAGCTACAACGCCTTAGCAGAGGTTTTCAAAAGTGGGGTCAAAGGAAGGTTGGGAACATTAAGTTGCAGATAGAAATGGCCAAGGAGATTATTCATCGGCTTGAGATTGCAAGGGACTCCCGTGAGCTATCTGCTAGTGAGGAATGGTTGCGCAAGAAGCTCAAGCTCCATTGCCTTGGTTTGGCCTCCCTTGAACGAACCATCGCCCGTCTGCGTTCAAGGATCCTTTACCTTCGGGAAGGTGATGCAAACACATCGTTTTTCCACCAGCAAGCTCGCTTCAGAAAGAAGAAGAATTTTATTGCAAAGTTGCAAGTAGAGGACCGACTGGTTACTTCCCAAGAAGACAAACAGGAAGCAGTCCTAAAATTTTATGACAAGTTGCTTGGTACGGCGGAAGAGCGGAATTTCTCAATTAATCTTGATGAGATTGGCGTACAGCCTATGGACCTATCCTCCCTGGAGGACCCGTTCACAGAAGAGGAAGTATGGGCAACCATCAGCGATTTGCCCCTTGATAAAGCACCAGGACCAGATGGTTTTACAGGTCGTTTCTATAAGTCTTGCTGGAATATTATCAAAAGTGACTTGCTGGCTGCTTTCCATTCTATACATCGAGGGCATGTGTTCCAATTTAGACTACTTAACTCTGCTTTCATCACCCTGTTGCCCAAAAAGATGGACGCTCTGCATGTCAAGGATTATCGGCCTATAAGTTTGATTCATAGTTTTGCCAAATTAGTAACAAAAGTTTTGGCCAACCGGCTTGCTCCACTGCTGCCTTCTATGGTTTCAAATAATCAGAGCGCATTTGTCAGGGGAAGAAATATTCATGATAACTTCCTGTTTGTCCAACAAATGGTGAAATCTTTGCACAAGAAGAAAGAGGCCCATATTCTACTAAAGTTGGATATTTCCAAGGCATTTGATTCAGTTTCATGGTCCTTTCTCTTGGAGGTAATGAGACAGTTGGGTTTTGGGCAAAAATGGCGGGACATGATCAGTTTAATTCTGTCAACTTCGTCCACTCGAGTGTTGGTGAACAGGGAGCCTGGGGATTCTATTCTTCATAGTCGAGGCCTACGGCAGGGTGATCCACTCTCCCCCATGCTCTTCATTCTAGTCATGGATGTGCTTGACTCTCTAGTGGAGTACGCAGCGAGAGAGGATTTGCTTCAGCCACTTGCTGTCCAACATGCTCGGCATAGGGTATCCTATTTTGCTGATGATGCTGTCATTTTCCTTAGGCCAGGGAGAACTGATCTGCTGGTGATCAGAAACATCCTAGACCTGTTTGGTCATGCGTCTGGACTCCATACCAATCTAGTGAAAAGCTCCATCTCTCCCATTCATTGCTCCGAGAATGAATTAAGTATCACTGCTGAACTTCTATCTTGTTCAGTTAAGGAATTCCCTTGCACTTACCTTGGGCTGCCTCTGTCCATCAACAAACCCACCAAGGAAGTGCTATTGCCCTTGATTGACAAAGTGGCTAATCACTTGCCTGGTTGGAAGGCATCCCTAATGAACAGAGCAGGTCGGTTGGTAATGGTCAAGGCGGTTCTATCGGCCACTCCCATCTATTCCATGATGGCTCTCGATCTGCCAAAGTGGGTGTTAAAAGCCATTGACAAGAGGAGAAGGGATTTCTTTGGAAGGGTCGGGGAACAAGCTAATGGGGGCAATTGTTTGGTGTCCTGGGAAAGAGTACAATGACCTCTAGAGTATGGAGGATTGGGGATTCTAATCTAGAAACCCTTGGTGGGCACTATGGGTTAGATGGTTGTGGGCTCAAAAATGGATCTTTCTCGGCCTTGGGCTGGATTCCAAATTCAGGTTCCTCATAATGCCGAGGCATTGTTCAAGATGGCGATCGACCATATTGTGGGACATGGTGCTTCCACCCTCTTTTGGAAAGACAGGTGGATTGATGGACAAACTATAGAGGAAGTGGCTCCCAACCTGTTCAAGGCCATCCCTAAAAGGATAACTAGAAGGCGGATAGTTGCACAAGCTCTTGTCAATCGAAGTTGGGTTACTGAGACATCAAGGGTTTCGCTTTCGATTCAAAGTTATATTGGAATATCTTTGGATTTGGGATCATGTTGAGGGAGTTGTCTTGCAGCAAGAAGTTCCAGATCAAATAATATGGAAACTCTCACAGAATGGAGTATATAGCAAGCAAGTCGGCCTATCTTTGCATTTTTTGTAGGAACTATTAAATTTGCTCCGGAGGAGGATATGGAAGAGTTGGGCGCCTCTCCGTTGCAAATTCTTCATTTGGCTAGCCATCAACAATAGATGTTGGACTGCGAACCGCCTTGCCAAAAGAGGATTGCCTCATCATGAAGTCTACCCTCTTTGTGATCAGGAGGAGGAAAACATTCAGCATATATTGGTTGGCTGTGTTTTTACAAGACAGATTTGGTCCCTGATCCTCCAACCTCTTCATCTGTTAGACTGACTCCCTTAGTTTACGAGACTCGTTTTTCCTTATGGTGGAAGAGGGCTTTGAGCTTGATCCCAAAGGGGATAAGGAAAGGACTTAACTCACTAATTATTTTGGTTTCCTGGGAAGTATGGAAGCATAGAAATTCTTGTGTTTTTGAGAATGCTAGACCCAACATCTCCTTGCTGCTCTAGACAGTGTATGATGAGATCAACATTTGGGGGATGGCTGGAGCATTTAAGCTCCAGGAACTCCTGGTGAGGTCGCAGGCCCCAACAACATAGGTCTGGGGGTATTTGGTCGAGGTCGTGTTTGTGTCTGTGGCGCGTATATAGGCCTCTTTTGATGAGGACATCATTGGCTCAAATATGACCATGCCAACCACTTCTATACTAAAGGTGCAACCATTCTATATGAGGCTTATCATTGATGCATTTGATGAATTGGTGCTCCACCATAAAATGTGTATATTTTCATTTTCAGAATTACTTACATGGATTAAGGGAAGGTTTGATTGCATATGGAAAGCATGGAAGGTTAATGAAGTTGATTGGGGACCAAATCCAAGTATTCCCAACGTCCTCCACCTGGACACCACGTCACTTTTGGTCCAAGCAAAGAAAGAGATCAAATCCAACACGTTTTTGGGCTGGATTCGGACTCCAGGACAGCTCCAACTTGTGATGTTCATCACGGTCGCATACGGACTCAGATTGAGGCGTTCAAGTACTTCATGGAATCCTTATGAAGTCTATTTTCACATGGATCTAGAATCAAGTCCATATCTATTTTGAGGCGGCCGCAATGACCGAATTACTACCGAGAGGTTTTCTGTTCAAAGGTGCTGCGTCGCCTTAGTTTAGTCCAATGGGCCGTGTATCAAGTTGGGTCCATTAGGGATACGTCCTAGGGTTGGAGCACGACCCCAACACCCTGGTGGTCGTCCTTCCACCTTCATATACCCCTTAGCCGCCACCAAGAACAATTGGGTTTTGTTTAGATCAAGTTTAGCCATTGCTACTTCCTTGTAGACGCGTGTGTCGACTAGACCATCCGTTCTACTTGATTCAGAACCCCAACTTTGTGAGTTCAGATTGGTTTTTCATCTCCATATTTGCAATTGAGTTGCTTGTTCTACTTGTTCTTGCTTGTTCCTCGATTGCTTGCAGGAATTACCCTAGTGGTTTGGTTGATCGTGCTCCACAAGATCGCGATAGCCGTTGGAGGTGGTGTATCGGTTGCTAAGGCACAGCATCCTTGGATGGTTGTAGTCGGGCCGTGAACGTCATCTCCATCCCCAAATCGAGTTATCCACCTTCTCTCATCGAAAGATCGGGATTCACCCTAGCGGGTTCATATCAGTTGGTAATCAGAGCAAGGTTTATCGGTGAGAGACTTCCAATCCTTCACTGTTTTAATTTTCCTAGTCCAGAAAAAGCCAAAAAAAATATAGTAGATTAGTTTACCCACAATCCTATAAACCCTTTGAGCCTTTGCTAGCTTTGCTTAGTTAGGGCTTGTTGAGTTTTCGGTTGCATCGGTTGTGTCGAGTTCTTTGGTCTTAGTGTCTATTCCTTTAGAGTTTTGAGTTCTATCACGTTTTGGTCACCACGAGATCCACGATCACCATATACATCGTTCTGTGTGTTTCGCCACCACGGATCCATATGATGTCCGATTTGGGAGTTTAAATACAATCTGAAAACTTGAAGTAGTCTTCTTTCCAACGGATCGACCTTGCAACAAAATTCGATCCGAGCACTCCACAATCTTCCTAGAGATTTCCACATCTCTTTGTAATAACAAGAGTTGTTGTTAAATCTAAATTCGAAGGGGCTGTGTGCAAAAGCCTTATTGTTTGGGTTGTCATAGTACCAAACAAAATATTTAGGGCTCTGCGAAAAAAAGAAAAAAAAGAAGAAGAAAAAAAGACAAGAGAAGGAGAAGAAAGAAGGGGCTAAATCTGTTATTTTCTTCGTGCTGTGCTAGTTGCTCTTTTTCAGTGACTACCTTTGTGCTTAGGCTCACGTCTCTAGCATGGTTTAGCCTAGGACCAGCACAGTACCACCATTGAATGATTATTCAGCTTGCTTTTGTGACTAATGTGGTGCTAGTACTTCCTTGCTTCAGCCCACCTATAGCTCCACATATTC